TGCTCTCTCTAAATGTCTTTATCCTTCTTACTGTCTCTACTTCTGTCTGACTGTCTCCTTCCCTCTCACTGTCTCTACCTCTTTGTTGCTGTCTCTATCTATCTTTATCTGTCTCCTGCTGTCTCCTCTTATCTCTCTCTTACTCTCCCAGACTGTCTCTATCTGTCTATATTTATTTGTCTCTTTATTTTTATCTGTCTCTAACTGTCTCTATCTGTCTCTATCTGTCTTTATCTGTCTCTAACTGTCTCTATCTGTCTTCGACTGTCTCTGTCTGTCTCCATTTATTTGTCCCTTTTGATTTTTATCTGTCTCTAACTGTCTCTCTTTAGCTATGTATAAACAAAGAATAGGAAGCGCAGCAGCAGCCTCTATTGTCTCTGCCCGGTGCGCTTCTCTCTCCTTTGTCTTCTTTAGCAGCAACAGCAACAGCAGCAGCAGCAGCAGCAACAGCAGCAGCACCGCAACTGCAATAACAGCAGAAGCAGCAGCAGCAGCAGCAGCTTGCCTGTCTCCGTCTGGGGTCCGGTTGCATGCAGCAAGAGACACTGCATGCAGCAGCCTGGAGCAAACGATGGCCCATAGAGGGGCTTGCAAAGCCCCATACAGTTCAAATCCGCATGCATGCTGCAGCTGTCCCCTCCACTCTGCTGCTGCAGCACGCACTTCAGCAGCCAGCTCAGCGAGGCCACTGCTGCTGTTGGTGCTGCTGCTGTTGTTGCTGCTATTGCTGCTGCTGTTGTTGCTGCTGTTGCTGCTACTGCTGTTGCTGCTACTGCTGTTGCTGCTGCTGCTGCTGTTGCTGCTGCTGCTGCTGTTGCTGCTGCTGTTGTTGCTGCTACTGTTGCTGCTGCTGCTACTGTTGCTGCTGTGGTGCCCTCTCAGCTCCCAGCGCAGCAGGGATCGAAGTGCGCTGCGTCTGTTAGTGGTTGCCTGCAGCAAGCACAGCAGCACAAAGCGGCGAGAAGCAGCAGCAGCAGCAGCAGCAGGAAATAAAACTCTGCTCTACAGCAGCAAAAATGGCACATGTCTGCTGCTTCGGCCCTACAGGCCCTGGTGCGCTGCAGCAGCAACAACTGTAATCATGCAGCAGCAGGAGACACTTGAAATAAACCCTAAAAAGGCGTGCAACAGCAGCAGCAGTAGCAGTAGCAGCAGCACCACCAGCGGCAGAAGCAGCAGCAGTAGCAGCAGTAGCAGCAGCAGCACCAGCACGCCTCACAGTGAGGGCTTCAGCCAGCTTTAGCTGCTGCGCTGCTTGGGATGTTTTGGCCTGAAGGAGACGGGTTAGTGCTACGCCTTCTAGTGCTGCTTGTTGCTGTTGCGGCGTCGCTGCTGCTGCTGCTGCAGCAGCAACAAACTCACTCTCCGCCTCCGTCAGCCTCCCGCACAGCAGCAAGTGCCACGCTGTCTCGCGAGTGTACTCCTGCAGCAGCTGCGCAGCTGCTGGTTCCTTTGCAGCCTGCAGCAAAGCCCTCCCCTGCTGCAGCAGCGACAGAGTCTCCTCCAGCACATCTTCTCGCCTGCTGCTGCTGCTGCTGTGACTGCTCCTGCTGCTGCTGCTGTTGTTGTTGTTGTACACGCAGCTCCAGCAGCCGCAAATGGCTCGCGACACCTCCAAACAAAACAAAAAGCCAGGAGGCTCCTGCAGTAGCAGCAGCAGCAGCAGCAGCACAGCAGCAGCCCCATGCAACAGCCACCAGCTGCACGCGGCGAAGCGAGCAGCAGCGGCAGCTCAAAAAGCAGTAGAATTTGTGCTAGTAACAGCAGCAGCAGCATTAGGACAGAAGTAACAGCACTAGTAACGGCAACAGCAGCAGCAGTAGGAGCAGCAGAAGCAGTAACAGCAGCAGATTGTGAGGTGTGCAGGCAAGCCCGAGTATGCCCGCAGCAAAGAAGAGGATGCTGACAACAGCAAAAGAAGAGACAGGAGACAGTGCTGTCTCCAGAGACATACTTCTGTGTTTAGAGATGCTGTTAACGTGCGGAGTGCTTCGTTCGCGCTGCTGTGTGCTGCTGCTGCATGCGTGTTGCTGCAGAGCTGCAGCAACAGCAGCAGCAGCGCAGCGGGTTGCTGCAGCTCCCCGCCACCGCTGGCGTTCTGGGGTGCAGCAGCAGCACAAGTTGCTGCTGCTGCTGCTGCCTCCTCCCACCGCGACACCGACAGCAGCAGCAGAGCCCGTTGAAAGGCAGCAGCAGCAAACCACGGCTCTCGTGACTGCAGCGCACTCAGCAGCACTAAAGCCTGCAGCAGCAGCAGCAACAGCAAACAATAGAGACAGTTTTAAAGCAATGCATGCGAACTCACGCGGCGTATAGGCAGCTGCTTAGCTCGAAACGAATATATATATATATATATATATATATATATATGCATATATATATATATATTGATATGCATACACATATTTCTATATAGATGTACATATATGCATAATATATATATATATATAGGTCTGTAGACAGAGTACTATATATACATGTACATATATATATATATATATATATATAGAGAGAGAGAGAGAGAGAGACATTTCTTAGGCATGGCTAATAGGCAAACAACCCGCATATATGCGAAATAAAAAAAATAAGGTAAATGTTTGAATTAATTTTAATTAATTTATTTATTTATTAATTTCTTGCCTGCTCCCACTGTCTCCTCCTGCGGTGTATTTCTGCTGCGCCAAGAACAGAGCGAGGAGAAGGGGTTGCTGCTCTCGTCAGCAGACTCAGCTGCTGCGACCTTTGAAAGCAGCGCTCTGCTGCTGCTAGCTCCTGCTGCTGCTGCTGCTGCCGTTGCTGTTGCTGCTGTTGCTGTTGCTGCTGCTGTTGCTGCTGCTTGACAAGCGCTGCATGCACTTCCAGGTGAAGCCAGCCTTCGATGCAGCAGCTCTCTTCCGTCTCCGTCTCCACAGTCTGCAGCAACGATAAGCGCATGCAGCAGCAAAACAGAGTTTATAGGGCAGCATATATCCAATAGAATTCCACTTGCTGCTGCTGCTGCTACTGCTGCTGCTGCTGCTGCTGTAGCGCTGCCACACCGTTGGGTGCTGCGGCCCCACAGTTTCTCCGCCTGCCAGCCAGCAGCCGCAGCAACAACAGCAACAGCAACAGCAGTAACAGCAGCAACAACAGCGCGACTGGCCTGCAGTGCAGCAGAAGCGCCCTCAAAGTCTCCGAGGTATGTGAGGGCGGAGGCGGCGAGCAGCCGTCCGCTGTCATTCTCGCATCCCTTGGCTGCTGCTGCTGCTGCTGCTGCAGCAGCAGCAGCAGCAGGAGTATTCGTCTTCAGGGAGGCGCCTCTTGGAGTTATTGGTTTTATTGTCCTGCAAAAATGGCAACGAAGAAAGACGAAACCCTTGATAGGATCTGTTTAAGAGTATACTTGTTTAAAAGGAAATCTCTTCTGTTACTGCTGCTGCTGTTGCTGCTGCTGCGGCTGTGCATGCACGTCAGCCTTCACAGACTAGAAGAGCCGCGCGGACTTGTCTTTATTGTCTCCTTTTTGCAGGCTTATGAGGGCCTTCTTCACTTGCTGCAGACAGAAGTTTGCTGCTGCTTCTCCCTCACTGCTGCCTTCTTTTTGCTGCTGCTGCTCGAGGCTCTGCAGCAGCAGCACTGCCTGCTGGGGACGGTAGTCAAGGGCTGTAGCTACGGCACGCCACAAGACAAACGCGCTGCTGCTGCTGCTGCTGCTGCGGTTGTAGAAGCAACCCCTGCTGCAGACACCCAGAGCTGAGCTCAGAAGCCGCTGCTGCAGCGCGTAGTGCAGCACGCACTGCAGGCGCCCACTGACCTCCGAGTCCATCGCAGTAGCAGCAGCAGCAAGTCGGTTGAGCAGCAGCAGCAGCAAGCAACAGCAGCAAGTCAATCGCGTTTCAATCGTGTAGAGGCAGTAGCACCAGCAGCTGCTTCATCTAGCAGCAGAAGAAGCAGGAACAGAGCGCAGCAGCAGCAAAGTGGTGCTTCGAGCATACTAGACAGGATGAGCAGATCCACAAGTACCCTAAGGGGGCAAGCAGCAGTAGCAAGGCAGCATGAGGGTGCTGCTGCTGCTGCTGAAGCAATTGCTGCTGCTGCTGCAGCTGTTGCTGCTGCTGTTGCTGTTTCTGGTGAGGAAGGCGCTGCTGTGCGGCCGCAGGAATGCGGTGCAGCAACGAAACTGGGAAGTGTCTCCTGTCTCCTGTCTCCTGACTTCTAAGGGACAGAAAGGAGCTGCAGCAGCTCAGCCACAAGGAGACAAACAGCAGAAGGTGTCTCCTCGTTACTCCTTATTGTCTCCTTTAGGGACAGAGAAGGAGACAAAAGGAGACAGACAAACCCGCAGCAAAGAGACAGCGCCCAGAGCGTCGTATGCGTCACTGTGCCTGTGAAATAAAACCTGCTGCTGTTGGTGTTTGCCGCTGCTGCAGCAAACACCAACAGTTCCTGTTGTTGCTGCTGCTGCTGCTTCTGCTGCTACACTGCATTGCTGCCCATGGTGGTTGGAGTGGATCTGCGTCACTGCGAGGAGAGCTGCATGATTGTTGTCTCTGTTTTTTATCTCTAGACAAAAGGTTTTTTATATATTAAAAAAAGAAAGGCTTTTTATAGAAAGTACTGTCGTTGCGGTGAGTTGCTCTCGGGTGTCTCCGCAGCTCCCGCTGTCTCCTGGAGTGACCCTGCGCGGTGTTCGCTTCGAGCAGCAGCAGCAGCAGCAGCAGCAGCGACAACAACAGCAGCAACAGGAGCAGCAACAGCAGAAATGATTGAGTTGCGTTTTGTATGATTTGTTTCAGTGAGTTCGTGCTGCTGCTGAGCAGGAGGTGTCTCCTTTCCTGTTGGCAAGAGACACCTGCTGCTGCTGCTACTGCTGCTGCAGAAAGGAGACAGCAGCCCCGTCTGTTTGCGGTTTGTTGCTGTCTCTAAGAGGAGAGGGGAGGGCTAAAAAAAGTTGTTGCTGTCATAGAAGCAATACAAAAACAAAGGAGACAGCAGCAGCGGAGAGACAGAGACACAAGAGACACCTGAATGCTGCTGCTGCCTCGCCGCACCACTGTGCTGCTGCCGCCTCCCAAACAGCAGCCCCACGAATAAACAGCAGCAGCTAATAACAGAGTTGTCTTTGCTTTTGTTTTTGTTCTTGTTTTGTTTTGTTTGTTTTGTCTTTATTCATGTATGCTTGTCTTTTCAGGTGTATATACAAACACCACACAAAATAGCTGTCTCCTGCAGAAGGGACTGTCTCCTGGGGTCTCCCCTGTCTGCATTTGTCGCAAAAGTTTTATTTATTTTGTTTTGTTTCTTTTTCTTATGTAGTTTTGATTTGTTATCCCTTACTAAAACAACAGAGACAGCAGCAACAACTGCAGCAACACCTGCAACAACACCGCAGACAGTACACCCCGGCTGTCCCTTCAGGATGCTGCAGCACCGCCCCCCCCTGCTGCTGTTGCTGCTGCTGCGTTGCTGCATTTGGCTCTTCCTCCTCTTAGCGGCAGCAGCAGCGGCAACTGATGCAGCAGACGCTGCTGCTGCTGCTGCTGCTGCTGCTGCTGCAGGCGGGATTCCGTTGGAGGGTCTTGCTCCTGGGGATCGTCCCCAGGAACGTCTCCCGATCCCTGTCACCCCACAGGTGCCCCCCAACCCAACGCACCTGAGCCAGCAGCAATCTGCTGCTCCTCCTGCTGCTGCTCCTCCTCCTCCTCCTGCTGCGTTCTCCGTGCAACAAGCAGACACGGATGGAGAAGCATCAGTGGGGGAAGCAGCAGCAGCTGCTGCAGCAACTGCAGCTACTGCAACTGCTGTCTTTTTCAGAGGCGCACCTGAAGGAGACCAAAGTGTATCTCCTGCAGCTGCTGCCACGGCTGCCGCTGCTCCTGCTGCTCCTGCTGCTGCAGCATCAGCAGCAGCAGCAGCAGCAGAGCCTGTGCATGCACTGCCAATACTTAAAGTGGTAGCTTTTGCTGAGGAGGTGCCGCAGGTTGTACGAGCTGGGGAATCTGTGCATGCAGTGTTGCATGTAAAGAGTAAAGACGGGGCTTTATTGACTTCATTTGATGAAGCCCTTTACTTTAGTTTCTTCTCTCTAGAAGAAAACACAAAAAATACAGCGACACCCCAAGAAATAGACAGAACCTTCTTCACTGGAGCTACCGTTGCAAACGCACACAAAGGTGAGCCCTGCTAAACCTACTGAAGCTTCGCTGCATGCATGCACGTACAGAAAATGCATGCATCGGCAGGTGCATGCATGCATGCATGCAGACATGCACCTGTTTCTATCCATCTATGCGGGCGTGCATGCATGCATGCACCTGTTTCTACCCACGTAGGCATGCATGCATGCACCTGTTTCTATGCATGCACAGGCATGCATGCAAAGAGAGGTGAAAAAGTGCAAACATAGATGCGTACAGTGATGTGCATGCACATATTGATAGGTAAAAGGGCGCATGCATGCATGCATGCACCTATATGTGCATGCAAGCAAGCAAGCATGCATGCATGCGTAGATAGTAGAGATGATGCACGCAAAGGCGCTGGCGGCTCTCCTGGTTGCTAACACCTAGCGAGTAGCAGAGGGAAAGAAGAGGCAAAAGAAATAATATTAAAATAAAAGCAATTAACCCGACATCGTTCGTTCGGGACACAGACAACTCCTGCAGCAGCAGCAACAAACCAAACGCCATTCTAATGCAGTCTTACAAAGAATGGCTGCTGCTTCTGTTGCTGCTACTGCTGCTGCTTCTGCTGCTGCTACTGCTGCTGCTTCTGCTGCTGCTACTGCTGCTGCTACTGCTACTGTTGCTGCTACTGCTGCTACTGCTGCTGCTTCTGCTGCTTGCAGTTAGCTACCTGCAGCAGCAGCCGTGACCCCTCCCTACCCGAAGATTCCGTTGTTGCAAAGCGCAACAAAAAACGGGAGGAAAGGCATCCAGCGGTGCTTAGAAGCAGCACCTGCTGCTGCTGCTGCTGCAGCTGCGGCTGGTTGGAGCGGCCCAGTAGGGGTACACAGGGGGCGTTGTGTGTTTGCTGCAGGTGTTGCATCTGTGGGGGATTGGCGTTTCTTTAAGGCGGGACTTTATAAAATAAAAGCTGCTTGTGATGGGTGTCTCTCCGCATTTTCTGCTGAGCTTCGGGTAGTTAGCAGCAGCTTGTTCGCGCTGCAGCTGCTGCAGCAGCCTGCTGCCAGCAGCAGCGCAGGAGCACCCATACACCCCGCTCCCGTCTTGCAGGCTGTTGATGCCTTTGACAATGTTGTAGAAGATATTAAAGGAGATGTCGCTGTACAGCTTATTCCCAGCCAAGCACAAACAAAACTAACCACAGGTGAAGCAAGAAGAATAAAGAACTAACAACTGCAACACAGACACATAATATACGCCGCATGCAGACCCTATGCTCGCAGCTGTATCTATTGTCTTGCAGCTGTATATACACACCATTCTTTTTGCAGCTCAGTATACGCCCACGGCACCAAAGTAGCCGTGCATCAGAGACAAATTGCTGCTGCTCTCGCTGCTGCAGCTGATACAGCAGCAGCAGAGACAGCAGCAGCAGCGAGAGCAGCAGCATGGAGTGTCTTTGCATTTCATTATTAGAAAGCTGCACATGGTGCTATTTGCTGCTGTACGTCCGTCCAGTGCAAGGAGACACCCCGAAAGTGATAGGAGTGCTGCAGCAGCCTTTTAAAAAAGGGATTGTCTCCTTTCCGGGTCTCTCTGTGGGGACAGCAGCAGAAGGATATCGTCTTCGTTTTTTGCTGCTGTCTCCTTCGGTTGGCCGCCCCATTGAGGTCTTCAGCGAGCCTTTCAAGGTACAAGCAGCAGCTCCTGCTGCGCTGCAGTTCCTGCTGCAGCCCCCCCCAGAAGTTGCAGCAGGAGACACATTTCAGGTGTCTGTACAGCTCCTAGATGAGCACGGCAACCCCATACCCCACAGCCACACCATCACGCTGAGCGCCAGGAAGGAGACAGAAGAAACAGAAGAGACAGAAGCAGAGACAAAAGGGACGGAAGAGACAGATCCAGAGACAGAAGAGGCCTCGCAGCAAATTGAATTCTTGGGAGCAGCAGACGCAACTGCAGCAGAGACGCAAACAAACTCCGGCATCGCCACATTTAAAGAAATCGCCTTGCCCCCCTCCAAAGACCTTCTTTACCTCAAGGTGCTGCTGCTGTCTCTGCTGTTTCTGTCGCCGCTGCTGCTGTCTCAGCTGCTTCTTCTATTTGAAGGCCCCCTCTTGAATGGTTCCACCGTATATTTGCTGCAAACCACCTAAACCCTAAACCCTAAACCCTAAAGTTATGTGAGTGGAGTTATATTTCAGGCTGCATGTACAAGCTGCGAGGGGACAGTGCGTGGGCGCTCTCTGAGCAGCCGCGTGCGGGCGTCTTCTTTTGTAGCAGCAACTGCATGCGATTTGCTGCTGGAGGGCAGCAACGACGGCGGAGATACTTGCACTGTCTCCGTCTCTTTACACAGTCTCCTCGCTGGGGGCCCCACGGCCCCCATCTCCATTTCAGTGCTGCAGATTGAACCTGTCTCCCTTGTGGGGCCTTCGACTGACAGCCCCCTACCTCTCACTGTCTCTCCTGCCTCTCTCGTCTTCAACCCAGAGGAGGCATCTGTCTCCAAGACGCTGCATATCAGAGTAAGACCGAAAACCCAATAACATCCCCACAACAGCAAGAATGAAGCGCATGCATGCGTGCACATTAAACGAGAAGGTATGGGGCCTCTGCATGCGTGATTTGCATGCAAACAAACAAATAAGGGGCTGATGCATGCATGCGTACACATGCATAAACAGATAAGTGGCTTCTGCATGAAAGCATGCGTGCAGAAGCATGCATGCATAGACGAATAGATAAGGGGGTTCTACTGCGCGCAGCAGCAGAGACAGCAGAGGCGCCGAATCCCGCTTTACTGTCTCCTTACAACGTAGACTGAGGCAAATGCAAATAGAGACAGATGATAAGGCACAAACGGTTTTCTGCTGTACAAGCAGAGACAGAAAATAACAGAAATCAACGACCCAGCAGTCCCTTATAGAAAGGAGACAACGCGGGGTGTCTCCCTCTTGCTATGGCTGCTCATGCAGCTACCCATGCATGTTTGCTGTTTTTATTTGTTTGTTCGTTTGTTTGTATGTTTGTTTGTTTGTTTATGTTTATGTTTATTTTGTTTAGTTTTGTGTTGCTTTCTGCCTGCCTATCGCATGAGTATTCGTTATCCTTTGCTCTTTGCTGAATCATCCGTTGCCTTGTGCTTGCTGTTGCTTTTGCTGCTGCTGCTGCTGCTGCTGTTGCTGCTGCTGCTGTGTAGGCGTTGGATGACTCTGTTGTGCGGTACAGCTCAGATGTCTCGGATTGGAGTTCAGGTTTGCTGCTGCAGCACTACCGCGTGCATTTGCATGCAGAGTCAGCGGACCCTTTGTGGGGCCCTACAGCAGTTGAGTGGCTGGATGAACATTTCTTAGACATCACAGTTCTTGAAAACGACAAATTCAAACTCCAATTTCAACAAACGCAGCAGCAACAGCAACTCCTCAGGCGAGGGGACAAGGTAACAACCACCTGCAGCTACAAGCTATGAAACAATACAAGCATGCATGCATGCACGGAAGCATGCATCTCTGCATGCATTCGTCCATGCAGGGCAGCATGCATACATACATACATACGGGGGGATTAAAATTCATGCATGCATGCATGCACCCATGCACCCAGGGGAACAAGCACGCATGCATGCACGCATGCATGGACACAGGGGAGCAAATGTGCATGCATGCATGCAAACCAGCTGCATGTGTGCACGGAGATGTATGTTGCAGATATCGTACGAGGTCTCTTTGGGGTTCAGCCCCACAGAGGGCCCCGTCAACGTCTCCCTCGAGGCCCCTGTAGGTGTTGTTATAAGCCCCTCCCGTCTCACCTTTGAGAAGGAAAACTGGAGTGTTCCCCGTCTTGTTCAAGTTCAGGTCACCAACTTGTTTCCTGCTGCTCCACTGGTCAGTCTCTGTTGTTTGTAGGCTTTATGCATTTTCCATTAGATGCGCAGTACACAAATCAAAAGCAGTAAAAGTAGCAGTAGTAGTAGTAGTAGTAATAGTAGTAGTAGTAGTAATAGTAGTAGTAGTAGTAGTAGCAATAGTATTAGTAGTAGTAAATGCAACAGCAGCAGATGCAACAGACAGATGATAGTAAGAGACGCGATAAGACAACCAGCAGCAGCAGTGCAAGAGCAGCAGCAGCAGCAGTGCAAGAGCAGCAGCAGCAGCGGAGCAGCGCAGCAGCATACAGCTGCTGCTAACACAGGAAATAGAAATACAACGCGTGCTGCTGCTGCAGACACCTGCAAAGGCTGGGCAAGCAGCAAGCAGCTTCGCCGTCACCCATCAACTCCAAGGCAGACTGGGGGGTCTTGAAATTCAAGAAAAAGAAGAACTCATCTTCTGGGTTGCGGAGGAGGGGAAGGGAAAGGTAAATAAAAATTGAAAAGAAAAGAAAGTAATTCATTGATGCGTATTGTTTATTTTCCTTTTCTTACGGCCCACACACACAAACAACAAATTCAAATAAACATGCAACATGCGGAAGCCAGGACACGAAGCAACAACGACCATGCCGTAGAGTTTAGGGTCTAGGGTTTAGGGTTTAGGGTTTGGAGTTGAGCAGTTCGAGTAAAGCGCCCCGGGTGTAGGGTTTGCGGTTTAGGGTGTAGGGCTCGGGATTAAGGGTTCAGTGTTTAAGTTTTGGAGTTCAGGCGTTCGAGTCGAGCGCTTCGGGTTTAGGGTTTAGGGTTTAGGGTTTCCCTTCTGGCCCTTTAGTTGAGGGTCTTATATTTGTTATGTGTAGGGTTTAGGATTTAGGGATTAGGGTTGTAGGGTGTATTGTGTATTGTTTGCTGCAAGTGTATGTGTACACCGCAGCGTTTACCTTCTGCTACCATAATATAAATAGCAGCTCCATTACAAAAAATAATTTATATTAAGTTTACAAATATAAATACAAAATACGATTTGTTTTTTTGTTGCTGCGCCTTTGTCCAGGTGGTATGGGAGGAGGTCCCTGGGGCTGTGCTGGCGGAAACGTCTTTCGTGTTGTCTTTTCGGCTGTCTCTACAGCCTACGGAAATTGTCTCTGTCTCCTTAAACTGCGGGCCGCTGCTTGAAGCCCTCAGCAGCAGCACTGTGCTACTGACCCCCCTTCAGTGGCACCGAGGCGCGACGTTTCGCTTGCGGGCCAAGGACGATGGAGGTTAGACGAAAGATGTTGTTGTTGCTGCTTCTGTAGCTGTTGTTGCTGTGTGCTGCTGCTCCTGCTGCGCTTGCTGCTGCTGTGGGTTCTGCTGTTGATGCTGCGCTTGCTGCTACTTTGGGTTTGAGTAATGATGCTGCTGTTGCCGCTGTTGTGAGTTTTCCCGTTGGTGCTGCTGTTGCTGTTGCTATGTGTTCTGTTATTGCTGCTGCTGTGGGTTATGGTGTTGCTGCTGCTGTGGGTTATTGGAGTTGCGGTTGCTGTTGCTGGCGTTCTACGTTCTGCTGCTGGTGTGTTGTTGCTTTTGCTGCCTCGACTTGTGCTGCTGCTGCTGTTGCTCTCCTTTTTCAAGACATTCCCTGCTTGTTGCTGCTGTGCCCCTATGGTTTTCTTTTGATAACAGATACGGAGCAGCGGAGCCGCATGGAGTTTTGTGGGGTGCAGATGCACTCTGGAGACAGCCGTTTTGTCTCTTCTTCTTCTCCTTCGGATGATGATGAAGAGGGTTCTTCTGTTGTTGCCCTTCGGGTGTATAAACAGCACTGCGCTGACAACACCTACAAAGCCCGCTGTCCCTGTATCGCCGGCCAGCAATGCACCACCGCTCGCTTCTCGCACTGCCCCGCAGGCACCTATAGGTGAGTGTCTACTCTGTCTACTCAGCATCGATTGTGAATAGAACTTCTCTTATTCCATCAGCTAGCCTTTAACAAACCCTTGAAAGCAAACAACAAAACAGATACAGGGGAAACCACCTCTAAAGCGTTGTCTCCTCTTTCTGAGGCAACAAGAATATATATTTCATTTTCAGATACACAAGAAGTTAGAGTGCCCCTACCACTCCGCGTTTAAATAGTTAGACGCATGAGATTCAGGTTCAATATAATTTTCTTTAAATTCAACTGTTCATCGCGAGCACACATCCCCGCGATGTTTTACCAAAATGCAGCGGAGAAATCAGCTTGAAGGAAAACGCACACACCATCTCGAGCTCTCGCGGTCTAGGGTTTAGGGTTTAGGGTTTAGGGTTTCTTAGGGTTTTCCTGAAGAGCAATGCATTCATTCAGCTTCCCCAAAGTCGTTCCTGCGCTGCTGTTGCTGCTGCTGCTATTGCTGCTGCTGCTGGCTGCAGATTGCCTGGGACCTCCGGCTGCTTACAGTGCATCGAGGGGCACTTCTGCCCTGAGGGGGCCTCCCGCCCGGAGCCTTGTCCGGAAGGAGCTACAGCGAGAGCGGGAGCAGCAGTTTGTCGTTTATGCACAGAAGGCAAGACACCCCAATCCTTTAGGTCTTTGTTCTATGTATTTTGGGGTCCTCTCTAGGGTTTGGATTTACAGTTTATGCTCTGCAGCATGTAGGGTGTAGAAAGAAGTACACGATGATTAGAAGTTTTCCTGTTTAGGGCTGAGCTTAGGGTCTCTTAAGAGTTCCTAGGGCCTAGGGCTTTTTGGGGTTTCTTAGGGTTACTTTGGGTTTAGGGTTGCTAAGCATCCCTTAGGGTTTAGGGTTTAAAGTTTTGGGGTTTAGGGTTTAGCACTTAGGGCTTAGGGGTCGTAGGGTTTAGGGTTTCTTACGGTTTCTTAGGGTTTAGGGTTTCTTACGGTTTCTTAGGGTTTAGGGTTTCTACGGGTTTATGGTTCCTTAGGGGCTTTTATGGTTGCCTACGGTTTCTAATGTTTTCTCAGAATTTAGTGTTTCCTTGGGTTTCTAATAAGTTTACGGGTCCAGCATTTATTAAGCTTTGCGGTGTTTTAGGGTTTATGCCTTTGGGTGTAGCTGTTGCATGCAGACAACGCGTGCGCATCACGGGAAGCTGCTGCATGCCCGCCTGGCCGCTACAGCCGGGGAGGCCTATGCAAGGAATGTCCTGAGGGGTATTTCTGTCCGCTTCGGGGGATCGAGGAGCCACAGGCCTGCCCCCCGGGGACGTACAGCGTTGCAGGCTCCGCTACCTGCACCCAATGCCCCCCAGGCAGCTTCTGCCCCACAGCCAAGTTCGCCGACATGCAGGTCCGTCTGTGTGTTGTGCTGCTTCTTGCTGCTCATTGCTGCTGTACGCTGCTCTAAGCTGTACTGTGCTGCGTTCTCTTATGTTTTTTCTGCTTGTTGCGCTCTGAGTTCCTTCGCTAACAGGAACTTGCAGTGTCTCGTCGTGTCTCCTGAATTCCGCAGTCTCAAGCCTTCTCCCGCTGTCTTTTGTTGTCTTGTGCTGTCTTCCTTTGTCTCATGCTGTCTTCTGTTGTCTCTTGCTGTATCATTTCGTCTCCTTCTGTCCCCTTCTTCCCCTTGCTGTCTCCTTGAGACAACAGACCCCAACCCGTGGGAGTCCAAGCGTCTGCAGGGTCCCAGAACCGCTAATGATATTTTAAGTGACTGGAGGCCCACATCCTCTAATAATAATCTGAATGGCGGAGTGGCTGGGGGTCCCCATCCTACAAAGCTATTCTAAATGCCTGGGGGCCCCCATCCTGCAGTGCTATTCTAAATGGCTGGGGGCCCCCATCCGGAAATGCTATTCTAAATGACTGGGGACTCCCATCCGGGCTGAGGGCCCACATCCTGTAATAATGTCCAAAATGGCTGGGAGCTCGCATTCTCAAAGGAGATTGTGAATAGCTGAAGTGTCTTTGTATCCCTCAGATCTGCCCGCCCGGGACGTATAGCGAAGCGGGGTCAACCACTTGCTCGCCTTGTCCAGCGGGGTTCAGGTGTGTCTCTTCGTTGGAGACAGCGCCTCTTCTCCCTTGCAGCTCCGGCGAGTATTCAATGGAGGTACTTGCATTGACCACCATGAACCAGAAAACTTCAACCAAACACATACAACCCCGTGCATGCGTGTTGTACTAGATTAATTAATGTATATAGCGAGCAGAATCCGCAGGCACTTGTGTGGTGTATAGTTCTATGTGTCTGATATTTTGTATGCATGCAGACAGGTAATGTGGCATACAAAATAAAATATATACGTATATATTTGAATACTTATATATATATATATATATATATATATGTAGCATATCCATGTAGACTACAATATATATAATGGATATAGTATATATATTATATGCATTATAGATGTGTATTCATCATTGTGCGTATATTCAGAAATGTAGGCCACTGGCGCCGAGCTCGACGCCAGTGGCAACGCAGCTGTCTTTAGAACGGATTTCAACATGAGAAACACACAATGGCCTTTGGAAATTAAGATTCAGGGTTTAGGGTTAAGGGTTATTGTTTTTGTGTGCAATAGGGAATGTCTTCTTGTCTGCCTTGTTCTAAAAATCATGCCTGTCCAACACCCCTTGAAAAAGTGCCCTGTGAACGGCCGATGCAGTTCGCCCCTATGGGGCAGCAGATGTGCAAGCCCTGCCCCAGAGGTAAGCTAGCTATTCAGCTAGCCAGTCAGCTATCCAGCCAGATAGCTAGCTAGCAGAGTGCACCTGCAACCGGATTTACTGGAAAAGGATGAAGGGACTTTGTAGCTTTTCTGTATGTAATCCTGGAAGAATGATTTCTTTGTTTGAAAAGTTGGCATCTTCGAACATCAATATATTCACCTGAATTTCGCCTAATTGTAACAAGCGAAATACCGTTAACATGCAAAATAGGGATGCGCTGTAGATTTAGGCTCTTATGGAGTTCTAATAATATGTATTGAGATACTTCAACTCTCCCGTTTCTGAGAGGGCTTCGCAGCAAAGAAGCACCGGCTTTTCTGTTATTTCTTTTTCGCTGCAATGCAATTCTAAATCGTTTTTACTGATAAATATCTTATGTGGGCATTTTGTCAACTGGTCCTTGTCACTTTGTTGCTAATAATATGTTTGTCCTGAGGGAACTTTAGGAAAGAAGTGTGGCAAGCTGACCTGCATCCTCGCTGCGGCGAGATTCTGATTTCCTTTCGTATGCTTCTCTGGACTGCGTTTAGCTGCTATTGGCTGTGAGCTGGTGCCTTTTTTTTCAGAGTTCCAGTGCCAAGAGGAGGAGCCCAAAGCATGCAAGCCTGGCTACACTTCGCTGGAGGGAGAAGGAGTTTGTTCAAAAGCAAAGCCGCTGGCCCTGAGCGTCCTGGACCTGCAAATTCGCGAAAAGTGGGCTTTCATTGGAAATTTAAGTATTTGTTAAGGGTTTAAAGTTTATGTTTCAGGCTAAGCCCTAAGCCCTACTAGCACAGTTAGCGGCCAGGGTTTATGGCGTCCACGATTGTTGTGCCTTGCTCCACCATAATAGCAGCTTTCGCTTGTCTCGTCTCACCCTTAGCATGAATTGTCTCTTCGTATTCTTTTATGTCTGTATTACGTTTGCATTTGTGTTGGCGCTTCTGATTATGTGCGTGTTTACGTTGATTTTAGTCTTGAGTTGTTGCAAATGTTGTTAATATTTTCAAATAACTAAGGCAACTACCAGTTACTTGACATCCTACATGCAAGATAAAGTTTAAGATTCCTTAACATGACACGGAATAATAATTTTGCCCATTATTTTATGTACAGTGTAGTGCTTTGACTTCAAGGCTCGGGGTTCCTTGTTCCTTCTTGTGCTCCAATGAACATGGCGCAGCATAGGTTCGCGCGCTGACCCAGAGTGCCCTTCAGGCCGCTACAACCAAGGAACGGGCTGCTTCCCCTACGGCCCGTTAGGGTACTGCGGAAAGGGCAGATGCTTCAAATGCGAAAAAGGAACAGTCTGTCCTCCTTCGGCGTCAGCCCCTTTGCCGATCGGAGAGGGTGAGCACCAATTGAGACAGCTTCAGAGATACCTCCCTGCTCACGTTCACAATATGAGACGGATGAACAACCCCCATTGAAGTAACGCATCGACGTGGAATACAACGCTCGATGTAATAGTACAAAAATACGCATATATATATATATATACGTATAAAATCATCTGTATAGATGCCTATATGTATAAATATGTGTATATATATTTCGCCTGCATATATATATATATGTATTTGTATAAAATCTGCACGTGTACATAACATAGCGCACATATATACACAAGGTTAAATGCATGCTAATTCTGCTTCGGTTTGATGTACTAGTAGAGGGAATCCAGTGAGTTGCGAGTGCCGTTAGGCCGTTTCTTCACCTTATTGCCTGACTCCTGGACAGCGGTGGTCTTGGATATGCACTATTTGGTGCAGGCTTCTTCAGCATGAAGGAAGACATAATGTCTGTTGCTCAAGCCATGGAGTGCCCTCGCGGCACATTCTGCGAAGAGGGATCCTCTATTCCCCAGCACTGCGCGGCCGACGAGATATGCCAGGGGCGAGGGGCCCCTAGGATGAAGTGTCCCCCCGGGACATTAAGGGGCGTCCCTTCAGACATGTGTGAGTTCGGTGACCGACAGGCTCCCCTGCCTTGATTTAGTGTCGTTCGTTTGATTTGCCTGTCTTGGAAAGCTAGCCAGTTGCTGCGCGAAAAGCATTTGCACATAAAGAACCATGTTGCAACTTGCACAGAGGCTGTCGTGTATTCAAGAACAACCCATGATCATCCCGCTGCGTGCGCTCTCTCTGTAGCTACAAGCGACCCTTCGGTCTGCGTTACCTGCCCCATGGGATACTACTGCCCGACGTCAAGCGCCCCAAAACCGTGCCCCCTAGGGACCTACAGCAAGACCGACGCCGCCATCTCTGAGGATTCGTGCATCCTCTTTCCTCCCGGCTTCTACCCGGAACAAACAGCTGAGACACTTTTGTTCCGGAGAAGGTTCGATGCACAAACTTACGCTCGTTTTCATGTTTCTGTTCGCGCTTGTGCCCGTGCGGGTGTGTATCTCTGGAGCGTCTCGCAACCCCTCAGCATCTACTCACAATTTGCCCCATCATCAATGGTGGGCCGTAGTTCATTCAGGAGATAAGCAACTCTGTTGGTCGGGTGAGGGTGAGACGAAGCCAGGGTTCCTGTTTCTCCTATGCGGTTCTCAGAAGCAGATGGTTCGTTCCCACCACCTGGGGGGGGAAACAACTGGATTGCCCCCCCGGCCACGTCAATCGATTTGCGGGAGGGACTTCTGTTCTACACTGCGAGATATGCCCTGCACGCATAGTGAGCCGCATTTGTGCTTCACTTTACGTCGTGTCCATTGTAGCTCCGTCTTTGTCAGTTTAACCATCCTGTTGGCATCTAACCTCAACGCACTCCTGTGTGCACAGAGTGCTTGTGGTGACACACTCGGTTTCAGCCGGGAGGTTCCTGGTTCGGTGCGCATTAACCCATACAACCGCCCATGTGCCACTGTGCAACGCCAGAACTGCTCAACTCTCGACTCTTGCAGTGGCCCAACTGGTGCATGCCCATACCTCGCGGGGGCCATGCACAGGGAGCCTAGGTGTCTATTGCTAAATATGCATGGATACAATCATGTGAATATATGTATGAGTATGTATTATATGTTGGTATTGATGTACACTGCCTATAGTAAATGTGGTTTCTGCTGACCACGAACTTGCGCGACAGAGTGCAGCATACTGCTGCAGTTGGCTGCAGCGGGGCGTTCAGAGCTATTGTTGCTGTGCCGTTGTTTTCTTCAGAGTTGCTTCAACGAGACAAACAAATTCATGAAGTGCCCTGTGGGCTACTACTGTCCCACTGGTTAGCTTTTCCCACAAGAGCAGCGCCAGAATGCGGCGTTTGTAATTGTACGCGTACCACCAAAGCTCACGTGCTTTGCATTGGCCGCTTCTTTTCTCAAACACCTCATTGCTGAGTTCTCCAGGCACAATAGCAGGGATGGAAAGGCCTTGTCCCCCGGGAACGTACTCCAATACCAGTGCATTGGCGGATGCTGGAGAATGCATTTCTTGCCTGCCGGGATACTACTGTCCTCAAGGCTCAACAGATCCGATACCATGCCCCAGGGGGTCTTACTGCCCGAAGCGGACAGAGTCCCCTGACCACCACCCGTGCCCAGGAGGCACATATAACCCCAACACAATGGCAATAGTAAGCAAATTGCCTTTTGCTGCTAGTGGAGTTGCGTGTTGTAAAGATAGTAGATATCGTACAAATCCACCCAATTATTCCACTGTTCAAATGCTTGCAGGATATTGTCCAGTGCTTGCCCTGTCCAGCAGGGAAATACTGCCCCCAACGTTCCGCTGAGCCTTTAGATTGCCCTAAAGGTGACTCGGCTCTGAAGTGCTGGCGCTCCACAAGCGCACCCTCGATCATGTATAGTGGTATTTTCGGACTGCAAATGCGGCATAGCTGCATAACCTCAGTTCTATTTTGCATTTGGCCCAGGCCGTGATCATGTTCACGCTTGTGCTCCTAGGCACATACAGCGATGGCTATGGCACGAAGTACCCCGGCCCAGGAAGCCACCCCTCAATGTGCAGGAGATGCCCCTCAGGCTACAGCTGCTCCAACGGGTTGCGGTCTCCCTGTGGCCCGGGTTTTACATCTAAAGACGGAGATGGGACCTGCATGAAATGCCCCAGGGCAAGTATTCCAACAGTTTTGCAAGAATATGCGTTCCCTCAGAATAGGATCTATCGTGGTGGCTAGTGGTTCAAGCGTCGGCATTTCTGTGGTGTCCATGGAAAGCCTGTCGTCATAGTTCCCTAACTTCATCATGCCAATGAAGCGTGAAGAACTCCCACTGCTGCCCCCTTGTATTTCAGGGCTCGTACTGCCCCCTAGACGTCACTACGTACGACATGCTCTCAAAGTACCGCTGCAGCGCCGGCATGTTGTGCGACGGAGAAGGGTGGAGTAAGGACCCACGGAGGCAACTCCATTCCCCACATCTTTTCAATATGCCTGCCATTAACAGCCCCTTTCTTACTCCTTACTGTTAGGGAATCAAAGTGTGGCGGCTCTGCCATGTGCGCAGCTGACCTTTCAAACAGCACGCTGTGTCCCAGGGGCCATTACTGTCCCGCGGGAGCTGCAAAAGCAATACCCTGCCCAGGAGGGACGTACAACCCTTTGGAGGGGCGCACGGGCGTCTCAGACTGCATGATATCGAAGGCTGGGACTTATGCAGAAGAAGGCACGGAGTCTGCAGACGGCACTGGCGAATGCAGTACGGTGAGCTTCTAGCAAACGATTCTTCTCACCGGGGACAAGTATGTGCTGTGCCCTACCACGTTGCACACCTGCTTGTTTTCTGCACTCCGTATATATTCACAGGGTCACTTTTGTCCTCCGGGATCATCCAAGCCTGATCAGGTCGCGTGCCCTGCTCAGTAAGAAGCGATGATGAACGTAGCCTAGGTCGCTTGTCAGCTGGCACAGCCCACGTGACTCTAAACAAAGACAGTGCACAATATTTGGGTACGTGAGCAGCTACGTCGTGGTGCATTTGCTGGGATTTGACCCATTTATTCTGCGAATAGAACATACAACCCAAACACTGGGGGAAGGTCCGCCAACGACTGCATACCCTGTCCCGCTGGAAAGTACTGTGGCGTTGGAGTGACAACGCCCACAGAATGCCCTGCGGGCAGCTATTGCCCTGTCGGGTCTTCTGACCCACGACTCTGCCCAAAAGGGACGATAAGGTGAGTAAACGCCCCCTGTGCATTAGCACATTCGCGAAAACTCGGTAACATAGAGAGGAAATGTTGAGAAACCTTCCAGCTATTTTTCAAAAAAGGGACCACAATATTTGTTTATTCCCCACGAATGCTTCAATATTCAAAAATGTACTCAGGAGTGGCACTGGAGCGGAATCCGAACAAGACTGTAAGGCGTGCCCTCCTGGGTATTACTGCGAAACTCCCGGTCTTTCTGCACCCACAGGGAAATGTGCTGCCGGCACATTGTGCCTGGAAAGAGCCACAGATCCGGCTCCTAGAGACGGCCTCACAGGTGCGTATGTGGAAGTGGAAATACACTGCTCTGCTGAGCACGGTAAAGGTAACTTGGCAAAATGCGCTGACACTTCCCTAACTGCCACATGTGGCAGCCAGCTCCTGATGAAGCCGAGCAGAGTTGCGCATGCCATATTCGGATAACTCCTGTGCACCGTGAAGAGGGTGTAGAGAAAGCGCATGACCCTTTCTCGTAGTGGGGAGTTTATATCCCATATCGAGGCGCTGCAGCAGATTTTAACAGCTCGACACTCGTTCGGGGGGACATCAGGAGAGCAGGGGCTTCATTTATCATGCAGCATCCTTTGTCCCTGAGTTACCGAACCAACAGCACTGGCCTGAAATGGCAGGGCTTGCACTGGCACCTCACTGAACTGTCCAGAGCGGGCTTGGCACATCATCACAGATGTTCCTTCGTAGGATGGTTGATAATAAGCTATGCTTGGCCATCCTGGGAACGTAGGTCCCAGGTTGCGAATGAGTCACAATTGTTCGGGAAGTTCCAGTGCTCGGGCTGCCCCCAACAAGCTCTTTTAGTTGACCATTTCAATGGCATCGGGCAAGAGCTGCATTCATGCATGTCTTGTGTTTTTCCTGCTAGCTCTTGTACGAGGGAATTATTCATGTAGATAGCACTACCCACGTCAGAAATTTGCCAGCACAAATGCCTTATCCCCTCTGACACTGCGTTCTACAGCAGCTGTTTACTTCGTTTCTGAGGTTTGTGGCGCCCACCGACATGCAGCCTGACTGTTTGCATCTTCCCCTGTGCTCATAAATGTGTTGCTTGGCCTCCAGGCATTATCTGCCCTGCTTTTGGTTTTTGCAAAGAAGGCGCAACGCAGCTTCAACCGTGCAACGCCGGCGAGTTCAATCCATATGAAGGTGGCACATCTGAAACTGACTGCAGAGCGTGCTTTCCTGGGGCTTATTGCACTATTGTCGACGGCACTCCTGTTGTTGGGCCTTGCGATGGGGGATACTTCTGTAAGGAAGGCTCAACCACCCCCAAACGTGAAATTGCCCCACTTGGCACCTATGCCCCCGTGGGCAGCGCCCTTGCGAAGTTTTGCAAACCTGGGACGCATGCTGAGGAAGAAGGGTTGACAGCTTGCCGCCCTTGCCCTGCTGGATATTATTGCGACCAAGCGGTGCGCTGACCCCTGAATCGCCGATGAGGCACACGCAACGTTCTTGACCGCTTTAGTTGGTATATATGCTGTGGGGGGATTAAGGTGCTTAAAGGTCCTGGTGTGTGAGTAGGGCATGGGCCCAGCAAACCTGATCCGGAAGGATTGTAGAAAGGGTATGTATTGCGAGGAAGGCTCAATAATCCACAAGAATTGTCCCCCTGGTACTTACAACCCCAAGACAAACGGGAAGAGTATTGACGATTGCCTACCGTGTCCGGCTGGAAAATATTGTCAAAAGGAAGAGCTACACGAACCCACAGGAGATTGTGCTGCGGGCTACTACTGTGCTACGAGAAGCACAAGCATCGCACCCCTTGTAGGAGGTTCCCTTGTAATTACTAATAACGAGTGTGTATTGGTGACTGCACATTTCCTTGAATGCGTTGCTTGTAATTACTAATAACGAGTGTGTATTGGTGACTGCACATTTCCTTGAATGCGTTGGCCTGCCTTCTGCGCCGCATCGACAATCTCTGTTCTGGAGGCATCTTTTGCTTGCAGCAAACGGATTCCTTCGGCAATGGGCCATGTCCAGCTGGCTCCTATTGCCCTGCCGGCACACCAAAGCCTGTCCCCTGCCCTGCTGGTACCTATCAGCCGTCAATGCGTGCCTCCAGCGCAAATGACTGCATTAAATGCAAAGCAGGGTGGTACGCCTGCATACGAGAGCAGGCATTCGTCTCTGCAGTACAGAACGAGGCTGAAACTGATTAAGTGTTCAGAGCGATTTGTCAACCCCAAGCGTATGACCAGTCAGTTCCGTTCCCACCTCACAAGTCTGGGCTGCACAGCGCGAATGATGCATTGCTTTGTTTGTGAAGGTACTGTGAGAACGCTGGGCTCGCTCAACCAAACGCCCAGTGTTCACCAGGGTACTTCTGCGAGGAAGGTGAGGGGCATCCGTGACATATTTTCTGTTGTTCGTTAAGCATTGAACACCTCTGGAAGTCTGCTTCATAGTATGTAGTAGCATTCATGGTCAGTGTGCCGTGCTCAAATGCCTTCCTCCGTGTGCCTCGTGCAAAGGATCGACTGAAGCGGAACCAGCGAAAAATAAATGTCCTGTAGGACACATGTGTCCAATTGGTTCAACCATTGCAACCCCATGCCTCCCCGTGAGTACAAATAAAGATGCATTTCTTATGGAATATTAACTGGACCGAAGCAGATACACAAACCAAGTATCTGCTCCGACAGACTGTGGTGCGGGTGAATCAAAGGGAACCTACCAAGACATGCAAGGAAGCACGTTCTGCAACCCCTGTGCTGGGGGCTACTACTGCCCAGTGGGTGCCGATGCGAGTTTTGATGCGAAATACATTTGTCCAAAGGGGTCATTCTGCCCTAGGGGATCGAAGCATGGCAGAGAATACCTTTGTCCTCCAGGTGGGCAGAAGTTGAGTTAGAATAAAAGTGCAGGCAAGCGGTGGTGAATCAGCTAAACAGCTAAGTTAGACACTGTCTTGTCGGACACGTATGCTTGGACTCTCAGGCTTTTACAATCCACAAGAGGGCATTTCGTCTGTACTAAACTGTTTGCCGTGCCCTCCCGGTAAGTACTGCGGTAGTGCAGGCCTCGCTCAACCATCCGGAAACTGCGCAGCGGGTTTCTATTGCTCCGGTGGAGCGCGTTATCCTAACGAAGTGCTTAACGGTACGGACAACCATGCACCGCCCTTAGCACTTTAGGAAGATTCGCTTGCCACGAAAAACAGTTTCGACCCGGATGCGTTGCTTAACCGGCAACTCTGCTCTGTCGCAGAATGTATGTTCGACTCGGGCATTCTGGGAAAGGGAACGGGAACGTGCACTTCGAGGAACGACCCATTTTCTACTAAGGAGGAAGCAGAAACTATCTGTAAGATGCAGAAAGAGTGCATTGGGATCGAGGAAAATAAGTCGTCGTTCTATATAAGGTTCGTGCTTTTTTTCTCCCCGCAAGCGCTGCAACTACTTATTGCTCAGATAATAAAATGGCGCTCTCGTGGAACCAATACGCTACTTGTAACGCAGATGCGGAGGCGTGGAGGCTCCTGATGAGGACAGCGGAAGTATATTCTATCCAAAGCTGTGCATCGAGGCAGGTCTCTGTCCAGCCGGAAGTATCTGCCCCGCAGGAACGGGTAGTCCGCAAAAATGTCCTGTTGGCCAATATTGCTCATCCATAGGGCTTTCAGCGGCTTCAGGCAACTGTGCAAAAGGATTCTTTTGCGAAGAAGGTTAGGGATCTTTTAAGCTAGAACTACTTCTGCCTTTCGGTGTTTGGCTGAGGAGCTTACAGTAGACGAATGTAACCATTCGCCCACTGCGACATTCCGCCTAACTGAAGAGAGCGCGGGCTCGATGCCATGCATGCAGGCTCACGCGAACCTTCGAAGGCAGCGAATGCATGCCCTCCCGGGCATTACTGTCCAGAAGGCGCAACTT